AGGGACATTTTGACTTGGGGACACTCTTGATGCACCAATTACGTCCGCATAGGTCTCAATCAAAAAGTCAACTGACCCAATCAACTTGGTCGGGATGTTGGTGATCTTCTTGATGGCCTTGCGGGTCTTGTGGCCCAGCGTCATGAACCCGCCGCCCTTGTGGTTCGACCGGTCCTTCAAGACCGGCGACGAGGCAATCGTCTCGAGCGTGAAATTGCCCAACAATGGACTCGGGTGTCCGCCTCCTGCACCCGATGATGATGATCCTCTTCCACCAACCCCACCAGTAGTAGTAGAAGTACTAGATCCCATTCCCGACTCCGGGTACATGGTATGCACGTGGTGCACAAAGTTACTCGCCACAGGCTCCGTCGTTGACGGCGGCGGCTCCTTCATCTTGTCCAACATCTCCTTGAAGCCCAAGAGGTTGGACTTGACCGTGATGGCCAAGTGCGTGGCACTCAGCAACTTCTCCACGGCCTTCTGGAAAGGAACCCGCTCAAAGTTCTGCCCGTTCACTTCGAGGATTTGATCGCCGCGCTTGAGACCCAGCTCCTCCGCCCGCGACCCAGGCTCGACCTGGCCCAACAACAATAAAACTCAATTTCAACTCATCTTCACCCGAAAAAAAAAAATCCTAATCCCCTTCCTCACCATGGCAATGAAGATCCCTTTACAACCGCCTCCAATACCAGTAGTAGTAGTAGTGCCGCCACCGTATTTGTTGCTGTTGTTGCTGTTATTGTGGTGGTAAGCAGTAGGATCACCGCCACTTATTGACCCGCCCTTCTTCCCACCACCGCCACTCGTCTTGTGGGAAGAAGTCACAGCTGTCGGTGGCGGCGGTGGTATTGCCAAAGGCGGCGGTAACGTCGTCAACGGCTGCGGTAAGAGCGTAAACTGGAGCGGTTCGTCCCGACTCGGCCTCGTGAGCGTGATGGTCCTGGCTCTCGCCTTGGCTGCGCACGCAATGTTGAGCAGGCGCAGCTGGCCCGTCATCCGCTGAGCTTCCAGGGCCGTCTCAAACTTCTCCAGCCACTGCATCATTTCCGGGTCCATTTCAAAGTCAGTAAAGTGGTTGTTGACCCAGAGGAGTACGACGCGGGTCACGCGATCCCTGAGTTTCGTATCCGAGAACCTGCGAAAAATCAAAAGAAGAGGAAAATCAACGCTCCGACAATGAAGAGGTCTTTCGTAACGGCGGTTTTTTCGCACAGCACAGTACATTACACAAACCATTCAAAGAGCTGGTTTGCCACCTTGACCGGCGAGTCAATGAACGTCCTGTGCGTGAGGAGAAAGTCCTCCACGTAGGTCGGGTCTATAACAGAGTTGTCTTCCACCAACTGCGCCATGAGGTGCTCAGACGTGCCCTGAAACAAACCCAAGGGATGCATACGTTGAAATGAAGACATAATTTCGACGAGACCAACAAGGAAAGAAGGACGGAAAATGTACGAGGGTCTCAACAAAAGTTTGTGCAATCATTCAAAAGATGTCATACAATTCAGCTTTAAAAAATATATTCTTTAGGGAGAACATATTCTTTGGCCCAAAAAATAATCAGTATTGTTTGAGAACTTGTTTTAATGTTTTGCAAAATTCACACCTAGCAGAGTTTTGGTCTCCACTCAAAAGATGAGGCAACATTCCTGCAGATTTTTTTTTTATTGTTGCAGCCCAGCTTTCCCCCCAGAATTCTTGAAATCAACATGGCATTCTCTCCAAGGGTTGCCTCCAGATCTTCCAAGGCAATTCCACCATTTTCATTTCAAGAATAGCTGTGGTGGAATCATTCCACCACAGAATAGAATGCTAGTGGTGAAGTTTGCAGAACATTGAAACAAATTCTCAAACAGGACTGATTCTTTTATGGGCCAAAGAATATGTTTACCCTGAAGAATATATATTTTCAAAGCTCAATTGTATGACATCTTTTGCATGATCGCACAAACTTTTGTCAAGACCCTTGTATACTAGAAAGAAAGAAAGAGAGAATACAGTGAGACCCCCACATGCAGACAATCCAACATAGGGACACTAATTTTCCCATAAAAATTAATAAAAAAGGCCCCACATGAGGACACTGACTCAACATAGGGACATTTTGCGATAAAATTGCAAATATGTTTCAGGCCAATTTACAAGAAACACACATTTCCAGCCCTAAAATTGATGTAAGAAA